GGTGGGTGGGGGAAAGGGATAATTGTGTGATGGGCATTAAGGAAAGCACTTGATGTAATGAGCACTGGGTGTTATATGCAGCTGATGAATAACTAAATTCTACCCCTGAATCTAATAATACAGTATATGTTAACTAAATTGAATTTAAATAAAGAATTTTTTTAAAGATTTTATTTATTTATTTCACAGAGAGATACAGCGAGAGAGGGAACATAAGCAGGAGGAGTGGGAGAGGGAGAAGCAGGCTTCCCGCCGAGCAGGGAGCCTGATGCGGGGCTCGATCCTACGACTCTGGGAGCATGACCTGAGCCGAAGGCAGACGCTTATCGACTGAGCCACCCAGGCGCCCCTAAATAAAGAATTTTTTAAAAGAACCACTGCCAAGACTTTTTTTCCCTCTAACTTAGAGATGTCACAGTTTACAACACAGCTTAATTCACCTAATTTTCCAGTAACGCTAGACTATGAGAATTTATATGATAATAGGAAAGCTTGGGAAGAGGGAAGTTAAATGGCTTATACCCAAATTTGACCTTCTGGAAGACCAATTCAAATCTCATGCTCTAAAACTGAGTCAGTACCCAGGAGAAGGTACACATCTTACCCAACATGATGCAGAAAACAGTCAGGGACCAACAGTTCCTTCTTTTTGCTCCATTGTGTTCTCCAGAAGACCCATCATCATGCTTTGTGCTTCTCTGGGAATTTGTCTTTACTGAGTGACAAGATGAACCCAGATACCCAATTAGTGTGCACTCCTGATGTTAACTCTCTAGGAGGCCAAAAGAGGTTAGTAAATGTACATTGATTTAATGATAATGAGAAAACTTGGGGCACCTGGGTGGCTCAGTCAGTTAAATGTCTGCCTTTGGCTCAGGCCATGATCCCAGGGTCCCGGGATGGAGCACCTTGTAGGGCTCCCCGCTGGGCAGCTAGTCTGCTTCTCCCTCTCCCTCTGTCCCTCCCCCTGCCTGTGCTCTCTCTCTCCCTCACTCTCTCTCTCTCTCTCAAATAAATAAATAAAATCTTTAAAAAAAAAGAAAATGAGAAAACAAGTTTTTCCCCATCCCACCTCCATAAAACAACTCTACAACGCAGAAGTGGCATTGACTCTTACACACATTGTGGGTCCCTGTGAGTTTATTTTCCTTCCTGTCATCACGTTTTCAGAAGCCATTTAGGACACATTTATGTGTCCTAACTGTTTAGGACAATGTAGTTTGGGTTAAAGTCATCTCAGAAGCAGAAGCTAGGAAGTGGGCTGGAAAGAAAACTAACACTTCAAGGGCCTATTACTGGTCAGACATCATATTAGGAACTTTGCATACTGTTTCTCTAACTACTTACAACTCTTCTGCAAGTTAGGTATCAGTATTCCTTGTTAGAGCTCATTCCTCCCCCAGGACATGCTCTACTAATGGTCATAGAGGTTAAATACATTTTCCAAGGTCACATGCCTGGTAAGAGGCAGCATGGTTATTCTAATCCACGGTTGTTGGACTGGAAAGTTCAGCTCCACCCTGAATCTATGTATATGGGATGTGTAGTAATATTTACTTTACTCTAGAACAGGTTTTCTCAAACTCAGCACTATTGACATTGTGGGTCAGAGAGCTTTTTGTTGTGAGAATTGTTCTATGCATTGTGTGGAATGTTTAGCCTCTACCCACAAGATGTCAGTAGCTCTCCCAGTTGTATTGTGAATCTCTGCAGAGACTACAAAAAATGTCTCCTAACATTTCTACATGTCTCCTGATGTGGGAAACAAAGTCACCACCATTTAAGAACCACTGCTCTAGATATACATTTCTGGCAGGTAGTTGAATATATGGTCTGTAGTCTAGGAGAATGTTCTGAGATGCAGATATGGTTTGTGGGCTTCTGTGGCACCTGGCACGTAATAGATGTCCCATAAATATTTGTTAAATAAATGCAAATGGCTTATAAAATTTAGACTCATCAGGTCTTTTTCCATCTGTATATCAGTTCAACAAACTGAAGTAGGATCATCCTTATAAACTTCATCAAAATCTGTATTTTCGGGGCACTTGGGTGGCTCAGTCGTTAAGCGTCTGCCTTTGGTTGAGGTCATGATCCCGGGGTCTGGGGATCGAGCCCCGCATTGGGCTGCCTGCTCAGCAGGAAGCCTGCTTCTCCCTCTCCCACTCCCCTTGCTTGTATTTCTGCTCTCACTCTCTCTCTCTCTCTCTCTCTGTCAAATAAATTAAAAAAATCTTTAAAAAAATAAAAGTAAATAAATTAATAAAAATTTAATTTTAAAAATCTACACTTTCAACCCAAATTTTATTGCTTAGGTTTTGCTTCCCTTTTTAAAAAGAATGCATTTGAAGTGGTAGAACATGTAGGCACTGATTACACTACCACCAGGTATAGCCAGAGCCAAAAGTAGTTTCAACATCAAGATGGCTAAATAAAGAGTGAAGGTCCATTGTAGTCTACATTTCTGTGCCAGATACCTTGCTAAGTACTTCAATGACGTTGACATATTTGATCTTCACAACAGCCTTTTAAGGTTTTTATCATCATTTATGGATCAGAAATTCAAGGTACAGAGAGGTTAAGAAACTTGTCAAGTGTTACAAGACTAGTGGGTAGCAGAGGCAGGACCCTAGCCAGGACTTTGTGGTATCAAAGCCCACTGGTACTAACCATGAAGGTATCCTATCATGTAACAAAAATATCTCTAGAGCCCACCTAAGACCTGGAAATCATGAATTTTTATTTAACTGAATTGAACTTAATATGGTGATGGAACGAAGAATTCCAGTGAGCCTGTAGCATGACTCTTAGAATAATTCTTTGGACTTACATGGAAAAGTAGTTCCCTTCTATAAACTCGAAGTGTTTTTCTGGATGGGAATGGCTTTATTCTGTGGCCCCAACCTAGCTGGCTGGAAGAAAAGTCTGATCCTTTTGACAGGTAAGGCCGCATAGAGTGAGGTCACTAATGCAACGTCATCCCAGAGTAATGAAGTGCAGTCTGCCACCAGGACCCAAGAAGATCTGGCTGGTACTGCAGGGTCCTGTCCAAAATACACAGAAATAGCTTTTGATCCTATGCAATTCTTCATCTTTCAAGGGTTCAGTGGACAAGGGCTCCTCTGAAGTTATTTGCAAGAAGTAAGGGAACATGACAGCACATGGAACAAGAGAAAACCAGGTGATGATTTTCTTCCTTTTTCCCAATTCCTCCAGGGGAGGAGAGTAGAAAATTGTAGGTTTTCCAGGGCTTTCTCTTTGCTCCCTTTCCTACCCTTTGCCCCCATTCTTTGTGATAATAGAGGGATGTAAACAGAAGTCAGGAATGTGGGGTGCCCTGAGAGGGGCACAGAGAGATGGGAGGTGCCTGACCACCAGAACGGCAAATCAGGAAACACGAGTACTGGATCCCATGCTCTAGATGTTGGTTTATTCACCAAGCTCTCAGTCTCCATCTGTTTCCTTTTGCAGTGCCATCACTCTACCACATAGCAATGAAGCGCACACATGACAAAAGTATCTATTTCCAAGGCAGGCTAACAGGGTGAGGTGACTGATCCATGAGACATGAACATCACAGAGTTATTATTTTGTGTCTGGCATTGGGACCTACGGAGATCTCCTGTCTCTCTTTGTCCAGTATGCTGTCTAGCAGACACAGTATTAGGCTTTGATCTTGCCCATCAGGAGCTCAAAAGAAACACTCTTATGTAAAACAAGAGGGTGAGATAAGGGACTAAGAAAACACAGGGATGGGGTGGGTCGTGAGTTCAGTCCCTTACCCTAAATTCCATGTGTGGGGTACAGAACTCAATTGAATGAAAATGTAATTGTCTTATTCCCTTCCCCCAACCCATCAGGGCACTCATTCCACCACATAGAAATGACACTGACTCACAGCTAAAATAGAAACATACATGTATTTTTCTTCTCTTCTCCACATATTCCAGATCATGCTGCCCCTTAAATATATTCACACCTGTAGGTCAGAGTCTCCAGCCTCCTCCACTGTCAGGAGGGTAAAGCTCTGCCAGATTCCTGACTCTCAGCAGATCCACCCTCAGAAATTATGAGTCCCCTTTCCTTTTTCCTTTCCAATGTACCACTCAGCTTCTGTCTTCCCAGGCCCACTGAGGCTGGAAGGAAAAGAGGCCAAAGCCCCAAGTCAGGAAGTGACTGCACCGTCCCCACTGGACCGTAGGGAGGCACTAGATGTTTCCTGGTGAGCATTTTTTCTGCGCTCGGTGGATCAATCCAGAAGAGCAGGGAGGTGGCAGAATCCACCTGTGGGAGAAGGCTGTTTCTGGGCAAGAACTGGAAATCACAGGTTCTGTTCAGTCCAGCAGTTTTAGATATGGAAAGAGTTAGCCATAGAGTAAGGTGGTTCGTGGGGCAGATTGTTTTTCTAAAAGAATTAATTTAAGGGCTTTGAGATCCTAAAAGAATTAAATCCTCCTGGCAAAGTGAGGGGAGTTTTCTTTATCGAGGGCTGGGCAAAGGGCTTCTGAGAAATTACCCTTGCTCCCTGTGAACAGTCGGGGAAGCGGATTGGAAAGAGGACCCTTGGATGAAGTCTCTCCTCAAGGGCCCTGAGGCAAGAGGAACCTATGTTCAGCATAATCCGCCCAAAGCAAGAGTAAGGATTTGTGGTAAAGCCCAGAAGGAGATAACCACATGTGGTAAAGCAGTGGTTGGACACTTTTGATGAAAGCTACAGCGCTTCTCTTCCCTCCTGATGTGCTGGCAGAAAAGAATCACAACTCACTCTTCAGTACAAAATGAGGAACACTAAATTCATCTGCCAGTGATCGAAGTTCTAGGAAAATTAACAGTAGCTCCTCCACCCGAGGCTGAACTGAAAGCCCAGAGGCTGAGGAGCAGGTCTGTATGCTAGGGTAATAAGGGAGGTTTCAGGGTGAACACCATTGGCAGGTAATAATGAAGCTGCCCCGTTGCCAGGCCAACAGACATTGAACTCCTCTGGTCAGACTCCCTTTAAACCTCTGGCCCAAATCACCCATCACTGTGAATTCAGACTGAGTGAAGAGGGGACAACAACCTTGAAGGGCTCGTGGCTGTGGAAAGGCTCCTCTTCCAACACAAAATGATGAACTCCCTGATGTTGGCAAAGTGAAGAGAGCATCCTCTTTGAGTGAAATACCCATCCATCACAGTGGGTGGTTGGTCAGATATGATTCCCTATCACTGTTTGATATTGCAGCTAATTTTTTCTCTTCTGCTCCTCATCACCTTAGTGTCACGCATGGCCTTCCACGTTTGGAAACAATTTTGGGCAACTTAACTCCAGGAGATGCAGCCTCTTTAAGATGAAAGACTCTCAAACTCAATTGTCATCTGCAGCCCTCAGAAGAAAAGAACAAAGAACACGCTGAAAGGGGAGACGGTCATGTAGTTCACTAACATCACCTTTTGGTACCGAACAGCTGGCTTTGGCTTTTGTTCACAAAACCATGGATCTCCTCACCATTTGACGTAACAGCAGAGAACATAAAGAAACAGCAAGTGTATGTGTCTGCCTCTGCGTATTTTTGTCATTATCTACCTAAAAGTTTCTCAGTTTGTATATGTGTTGTAAGTAACTTTTTCCGTAAATACTCTTTACTGTATGACGGGGAATGTGGTAAGTGCTCTTCTTGCATCATCTAATCCTCACCACAAGCCTATGAGGTAGGTACCATTTTTATGCCTGCTTTACCCAAGAGGAAATGGAGGCTGGGGGGTTTGTCCACAGCACCAGCTAATTTTAAGTGGCAAGGACGGGACTCATACCAAGACCATATGACCTCCAGAAATACACTCCCAACCTCTAGGATATTCTCTGGTGGACAGAGAATGTGACAGTCTTCTGTAGTCCTAGCCATATGACTTGGAGACATGGGATAATTTCTCCTGGCTACCCCAACTTTCCCTTAGCTTAACATGAACTCCTTTGGGGCTGTAGCCTGGTGCACACTCAACACAATCAAGCCTCTTAGCATTTCATAAGTAACCTCATGACATTTGTATAGAGCAGAGGAATCCTTTACACATCAGCAAATAATGTTTTATATTTTATTTGTTTTATTTTATTTTTTAAGATGTTCTTTGGAACACATTCCTTTGCAAATTCTTGTGGGAGTTATTGCAACGACGTGGATGGAACTAGAGGGCACACTGCTAAGCGAAATAAGTCAATCAGAGAAAGACAATTATCATATGATCTCACTGATATGCGGAATTTAAGAAGCAAGGCAAAGGATCATAGGGGAAGGGAGGGAGAAATGAAACAAGATAAAACCAGAGAGGGAGACAAACTGTAAGAGACTCTTAATCTCAGGAAACAAACTGAGGGTTGCTGGAGTGGTGGGGGGTGGGAGGGATGAGGTGGCTGGGTGATGGACATTGGGGAGGGTATGTGTTGTGGTGAGCACTGTGTGTTGTGTAAGACTGATGAGTTACAGACCTGTACCCCTGAAACAAATAATACATTATAAGTCAATAAAAAAATAAAAATAAAATGATAAATGGATAACAACAACAAAAGATAACAAAATGTAAGTTCTTTCAGGTTTCCTCCATAAGCAATCATGTCACCTGCAAATAGGGACAGTTTTCTTTCTTTTATATGTAAATATATATGATATATATATTTTTCAGAGAAGTAGAGAGGGGGGGAAGGAGGGACAGAGGTCAGGGGAGAGATAAAATCTTAAGCAGGCTCCATGCCCAGCATGGAGCCCGACATGGGGCTCACCATTCCACAACCCCGAGATATTGACCTGAGTCAAAACCAGACACCCAACCAACTGAGCCACCCAGGCGCCCCGGGACAGCTTGCTTTCTTCTTCCATTTCTTCTTTACCAATTTGCATGCCTTTCGTTTCATTTTCTTGCCTTCCTGCAATGGCTAGAACTTCCAGCGCTAGGTTGAATAAGAGTGAAGAAAGCAAACACTCTTGTCTTGCTGCCTATTTTAGGAAGACAACATTAGGTCTTTTACCACTAAGTGCAGTCTCATCTGTATGCAATTTGTCAGTATTCTGGATAAAGGGGAGGAAGTTTTCTCTATTCCTAACTGAGAATTTTTATCATGAAATGGTTTGAATTTTGTCAAATGCTTTTCTGTGTCAATTGAAATAATAATATATTTTTACTTTGTGGATTACATTGGTTGATTTTTGAGTGTTGAATCAGCCTTGCATCTCAGGAATAAACCCTACTTGGTCCTCGTGTGTACGCATCTAGACCCCACATATTTTTGTATACTATGTTTTCAGTTTATTACTCTGCTCAAAATATTTTATAATTCTTTTTGTGAGGTCTTCATTGATCCATGGATTATTTATAGTCATGTTGTTTAAATTTCAAATATAAGACAATTTTCTGATATTTTTCTGTTATTTATTGTTAAATTAATTCCGTTGCCAACGGTGACCGCACACTAAGATTTTAATCCTCTTATATTTTTTGAAACTTGTTTATTTAAAAAATATGTTTGAATGTTATTTAATGTTCCATATTCCAACTGTAAGTAATATGTTTTCTGCTGTTGTTGGCTGAATACTTCTACAAATTTCAATTAGGTCAAGTTGATAATGTTGTTCAGGTTTTTTTTTTTAATTGATAGATTTTTATTTAGAGCAGTTTTAGATTTACAGAAACAGTAAATTGAAAGTACAGAGAGTACCCATATATACCCTACCCACCCCCAAGATTCCCCTATTATTAACATCTTGCATTAGCATGGTACGTTTGTTACAATTGATGAACCAATACTAATACATTATTATTAACTAAAATCCATAGTTTATATTAGGGTTCACTCTTTGTATTGTACATTATAGGAGTTTTAACAAATGTATAATGGCATGTATCCACCATTACGGATACAGAGTAGTTTCACTGTCCTAAAAATCCCCTGTGCTCCACCTTTTCAACTTTGCTCTTTCCCCTGAATCCCTGGCAACCACTGATGTCTTTACTGTCTCCATAGTTTTGCCTTTTCCAGAATGTCATACAGTTGGAATCATATACTGTGGACCCTTTCCAAATTGGTTTCTATCACTTTAACAATATGCATTAAACTATCTTCCATGACTTTTTGTGGCTTGATAGCTCATGTATTTTTATTGCTGAATAATATTCCATTTATGGATGAACCACATTTTGTTTATTCATTCACTTATTGAAGGACATCTTGGTTGCTTTCATCTTTTGGCAATTATAAACTACTATAAACATTTGTGTGCAAATTTTTGCGTGCTAATGTTCAGGTATTTATATCCTTACCTTTTTTTTTTTTTATCTACTTGCTCTAACAATTATTGAGAGAGGAGCATTGAAATCTACAACCATAATTGCAGAATTGTCTATTTTTCTTTTCAGTGTTGTCAGGATTTGCTTTAAGCATTTGAAGCAATTTATTGAGTGCAACATATCTAGGATATCTATGAACTTTTGATAAATTAATTCTTCTGTCATAAAAATGTCCTTGTTTTTCTGTAGTAATATTTCTTGTTCTGAAGTATACTTTGTTTAATATGAGTATAAACACGCTGCCTTTTTTATGATTAGTGTTTTCCTTGGAATATACTTTTCTATCCTTTGAGTTTAGCCTATATGTGTCTTTATATTTAAAGTCCATTTCTTATAGAGAGCATATATTTGGGTCTTGCTTTTTATCTGGTCAGACAATCTAGTCTTTTAATTGGAATGTCCATGATGCTTTATGTTTAATGTAATTTTCAACAGAATTTGGTTCGATTTTACCATTTTGCTCTTTTTTTCTATTTGATTGTGTCTCTTTTTCACATTTTTCCTCTTTTCCTGCCTTCACTTGAATTAAACATTTTTAGTATGTTATCTCCTCTTTTGGCTTGTTACTACAGTTTTATTTTTACCAGTTTCTCTGGTGTTTACATACTGTATTTCTAACACATTACTATCTACTTACAAATAATAATTTAGCACTTCATTTATAAATGTTAAGAATCTTATAATAGGGGCGCCTGGGTGGCTCAGTCATTCAGCGTCTGTCTTCGGCTCAGGTCATGGTCCCGGGGTCCTGGGATCAAGCCCTGCATCAGGCCCTCTGCTCGGCGGGAAGCCTGCTTCTCCCTCTCCCACTCCCCCTGCTTGTGTTCCCTCTCTCGCTGTGTCTCTCTCTGTCAAATAAATAAATAAAATCTTTAAATAAAAAAAGAATCTTATAATAATCATATTCTGTTTTCTTCTCCTTTATTGCATTATTTCTGTCATATATTTTACTGGAATATATATCAATTCTACACTGTATTTATATTATTTTAGTTTTTAAAATAATCTTTAAAAATACTGAAAACAAGAGGGACACCTGGGTGGCACAGTCAGTTAAACGTCTGCCTTCAGCTCAAGTCATAATCCCAGGGTCCTGGGATCGAGTCCCACATCGGGCTCCTTGCTCAACGGGGAGCCTGCTTCTCCCTCTCCCTCTGCCGCTCCCCCTGCTTGTGCTTTCTCTCTCTCATTCTGACAAATAAATAAATAAAATCTTAAGAAAAATAAAATGAAAATATTGAAAATAGAAAAAAATATATTTACATATATATTTAGTGCTCTTTAGTCCTTTGCACATATTCAAGGTTCTGGCATTATTTTCCTTCAGTCTTAAGTACATTTTAAAAAATATTATATTGCTGGTCTACAGGCAACAAACTGTTTTAAAGCTTTGTTGAATACTGAAGTGTTTGGTCATTACTTTGAAGGATATTTACACAGAATATCTAATTCTAGTTTGACAGTTTGTGTTTTTAGCACTTCAAATATCTTTCCATTGTACTCTGGCTTTCTATTGTACTTTTTTTTTTTTAAGATTTTATTTATTTGTCAGAGAGAGAGACAGAGAGAGAGCACAAGCAGGGAGAGCGGCAGGCAGAGGGAGAAGCAGGCTCCCTGCCAAGTAAGGAGCCCAGTGTGGGACTTGATCCCAGGACCCTGGGATTGTGACCTGAGCCAAAGGCAGACGCTTAATGGACTGAGCCACCCAGGTGTCCCACTGGCAGTGTTTCTGATAAGTAATCCACACATGGTGATTTTTATCTTTGTTTTCCTTTACATATTATGACGTATTTCTCCAGCTTCTTTTAAGATTTTCTCTTTATTACTAGTTTTCAGGTATTTTGTCATTATATGCTTTGGTGTGGTCTTATTTTTATTTGTGTTTTCCTACGTAGTTTCAGAGGGCTTCTTGGATCTTTGAGTTTTTCATTTTCCTTGAACTTAGAAACATTTCTGCCATTACTTTTTTCAAATATATTTTCTGTTCCCATACATATTTACACACCTTACTTTCTTGATTAGTAGATTACAAGATCTGTAACATACACCATTGACTCAAATACTTTTTTGAGATAAAAATAAAACCATCACATAAAATCTACACATCTATTTTATGATGTATCCCCATGTGAGAAATGTTGAACGATTTTTAAAAATAGAGCCTAATATAGAATAAGAAAATTTTGGGGCGCCTGGGTGGCTCAGTTGT